TGGTTGTGCCTCTTGGTTATTTCTTACACAAAGGCTCCTCCTGCCTTTTTCCTCTGATCTTCCAAGTAGAAGCCTTTAGTAAATACTTGTGAATGCCTGGATGTGTGAAGTGGGTGCAGTGGGATCTGGAGGATGCTAGAGACACAGGCTGTACCCTGTGTCAGAGGTGAGGTGAGAACTGTAGAGAGGCAGGGTGCACATTCTCCTCTGATATTGGGGTAGGGGCAGGGTGCATACCCCTCAGAGTCTGTGCTGTCTTTCTTTGATTCAAGCTCTCAGCTTTCAGCTATGGAACTGTAAGACTTCATCAGAGAAGAGGCAGGGTGAGAAAGTGGGGAAGGTGCACCTTGACGAAGTCCCTTGCATTCCTCTTTACAGCAAATTGTATCTGTCACTGACTTCTTTATGTCCTTGGGTGTCACCTACCTCTTCTTCCAAACTACTCTATTAAAGTAATCATAAGCAGCCGGGCATAGTGGTGCATACCTTTAATCCCAGCATTGGGAGGCAGAGGCAGGCAGATTTCTGTGAGTTCGAGGCCAGCCTGGTCTACATAGTGAGTTCCAGGACAGCTGGGGCTACAGGGAGACTCTGTCTCAAAAAAGACCAAAAAATTTATACTGAGTACAATATTGTATAACAGTATTAATTCAACTGTAAACCTAAAAATTTACAGCCAATTTTGAAAGAGATGCATCTTAGCTCTGGAAATTGTTATTGAATATGTCAATGCTGTTGTAATGAAATGCCTCTTCTAATTATATGGTTATGAAATAAATAATTTAAAAAGAAGCAACAAAGCAACACACACACACACACACACAGAAGACCAAAAAAAAGTAATTGTAAGCGTTAAAACAGGAGTGGGGTACTAGGAGTTTGGCTCAGTGATAGAGTACTTGCCCAGCATCCTCAAGGCCCCAGGCCCCATCCCCAGCACTGCAAAAACCAACACAAGCACATGCATTAATATTGCTTATCTTATGCAACATGATTGAATTTTAATAATTCAGTGCTTTATTCCATAAAGATGATTTACTAATGAGGATTTCAGTCTCTGCTACAGGAGAGGGAGGACTTTTGATGTCACACCATATTACTAATTTGCTAGGCAACTTGTTGGCAAGGTAGAAATGAGACCAGGATCCTGCTAAGCAGAGGCTGGATTCTTATACTAGGCTTCAGGGTGCTTTTTGATCTAACCACTGGTATTAACTGTCTCAAGAATCCCTTCTTAGTTCTGGTCATGATTCAGGTAGACTTAGAATGATCCCCCTCCTCACTGTATGTTCAAGCTGACAAAGCGCCCATCTGGGTACCATTATCTTTCTTGATGGATGAAGTGAGTCAGAAAGGAAATTTCCTCACTTCCATTCATTCTCTTTGCTTAAAATATCTGGACTGAGATTTTGATTTCTTGTGTAATAAACAGCAAATGTGGGTGTTTGAGGGTCTTTAAAAGAATATACTGTCCCTGAGAGTAGAATGTTATTTGAAGAAAGTGTCACAGGGAACACAGGGCTCCATTTCCGGGACTGGGCAGAAGCTGAATGTCTTCAGGAGGTATGGTGTTCTGCACAGAGCAGACAGGCAAGTCAGCCTTATTTCTGATCCTTCCTAGGTGTGGTTGAAAGGGACACAGGACAGGGCTTTAAGCTCTATCACAGGGTACACTTTCAGCCACTCACAAGCCCTGTGATCTTAGGGAGATCGCTTAAGCTTCATGAATATCCATGTTTCTCATTCATAAAATTAGAATAATTAGTGACAGAATTTGCCTTATATGCACGCACTAGGAAGCTACGAATTTGAATTTGCAGGCAACCGAGGCTACACAATGAGTTCAAGCGTAGCCTGAATTACATAGCAAGACTGTCTAAAACTAAGAAAGAAAAGAAAAGAGAAAAAGAAAGGGAAAAGGGGCTGGAGAGATGACTCAGTGGTTAAGAGCACTGGTAGCTCTTGCAGAGGACCTGGGTTCAGTGCCCAGCACCTGCATGGCAGCTAATACCCATCTGTAACTCCAGCTCCAGGGGATCTGATGCCCTCTTCTGGCCTCCATAGACACTGCATGCATGTGGTGCACTTAACATTCAGGCAAGGCACTCATGCACATATAAAGTAAATAAAATTTTTTTTTTTGGTCTTTTTGAGACAGGGTCTCCCTGTAGCCCCAGCTGTCCTGGAACTCACTATGTAGACCAGGCTGGCCTTGAACTCACAGAGATCCACCTGCCTCTGCCTCCTGAGTGCTGGGATTAAAGGTGTGTGCCACCGCACCCAGCAATAAAATATTTTTTAAAAGAAAAAGAATATATTTCATGTGATGCCTTTGGGAATATGTTGACTTCTTGAAAGTCCTTCCCAAATTCCATCCTGGTTACTTTTACTATGTACATTAAAACTTTTTATAACATTGTTTATTTATTTAGACAACTTGCAGAGTTTATTCTCTCCACCATGTAGGTTCGAAGGATCAAACTCAGTCATTAATTAGGCTTGGTGGTGAGTGTGTATATATATATATATGATTTTAAATTAGGATACGGTTAAATGTCCAACAAGTGGTCACTGTATAAAACTGGTTTTTACTGGGCTCTTTCCTACTGTGTATCTTCAGGTAGTGGGTGTAAGCTCTGTGAACTTCCATTCCTCTTCTGGAGGGTGGAGTCAGTATTACGTGGCCCTCAGAACTGGTGTGAGGATTCAATGAGATGCTGTGCAAATCTGGCATGCCATCGATACTTACTAGATGTCAGTTTTTAACCTCACACCATCTTTACCTGTTGGCCCATGATTGAAATTCCTTCATTGGTGCTTCCACTCCAGATGATTATTTTAAATAAAAATTATTATAGTATTTGTATGATCTATGTGTGAGTGTGGGTGGGCACCTACTACAGTGTGTGTGTGTGTATGTGTGTGTGTATAGGTCAGAAGATAACTTTCAGGAGTTGATTCTCTGGTTCTCTCTTTCAACCTTTCTGTGGGTTCCAAGGCTTGAACACAGGATTTTTAGGCTTACTGATTGAGGCATCTTGGCCTCACTCCAGATGAATTTTGTTAACAAGCAAGTACCACCAAATGGGATTGATTTGTTTAAAATCATCATTTAAACTTTTCACGATGGAAAGGCCGAAGGAACAGATGTCCCTAGTATGACCCCCAGGAAAGGTTACAGTGAAACTGAGCCTGGAAGAAAGGAACATCTTGTCCTTTTCAGCTCCTCACTGGAAGGATCTTCCCAGCTGGCCATTCTCCTGTCCAATCTACTTTTCCTAACCCTCAAGGATGGGGAAGCTCTACCTTACAACTGGAGAGAAATCAGGACTCTGGGCTTAAATGAAAATTGTATGTGGGGTGGGGGCAGTAAAGACTTTATAAACGACTGCTCATAGTTTTATAGAGTAGACACATCTCCAAGTGTGTTACCTCAACATCATTACAGTGGGACTCACTCTTAGAAACCCAGAGCACAGGACAGTCCCTGTATGCATTTTGGCTATATCCCAAACAATTGAGGCTGGCATAGTACAAAATCCCCCCCCCGGTCTTCATCTATTAGCTATAAAAACCATGTCCTGCAGCTTGGAGAAATGCTTCTATGGTTAAGAGCGAGTGATGCCTTCTCTTGCAGAGAAAACTGGTTTGGTTCCCAGTACCACGTCAGGGGGGCTTGCCACCCTTGCAACTCCAGCTCCAGGGAATCCAACGCCTCTGGTCTCTGCCGGTACCTGTACTCTCGTGCACATATAAT